CCATTTATTTCATAAACACGACGTACAACAGCAAAACGTCGTTGAGCAAAAGCTTGTTTATTTCGTTTAAAATGTCGTTCATGACCAACAGCTAATTTAATCGATAGATAAATTTTTCTTTCAAAAAAAAAAAAATTCTTCAATACTTACAATCACTAAATTGTCCTTGTAATTCAATAGATATATGAATTCTTCCAGCTGGTTCGAGATCAATCCATATATCACTTTTTTTATCATGAATATTTTCAAATTTAATTGTACAATTAGCAACAAATTCATCAGGTGGTAATGCAGCATCATGAAATATTGTAAAATGTAATTGTTGTCCATTATAAACATCACTTGAAAATTCTTCATTATATGTTGGTGTAGTTGTTTTTTCTTTGGTATGTGTACGTCCTAATGGTAAATCATCAATATCAACTGATATATATGGACTAACATAAACTGTTGATGGATTTTGAAGAAAATAACGTGTTGAATGTTCTGTTGCACGCAAATTATCAGCTTCAATTATTTTTAAAAACATTTTCCCGTTAAAAACAACCATTTTCTTTTCTTTTTTTTTTGATAATAAATTTAAAGAAAAAAAATTAAAGAATAATCAAGAGAATACAAACATCTGCAAGTAGCTGTTAACAAGAGGAAAAAAATAAATAACACAACAATACAATGAAATAGAATATTGGCAGCCATTTTATTTTACTCATGGGAGTACTCAATACATGATTGTCAATGATTCTTCCGGTTTTTTGGATTTAGAGATACATTATTTAATTATTTTGTTAAAATTAAAGTACTTTTTGGATAAAAGGATTACATTAAAATTGAATAGAGCTTCAATTTAAAATTGGGATAATCGTAATAGATGTCACTAGTTAACTATTGAATATACTACGTGTGCAATTATCAATTGAACTATTAAAATAATTTATTCGATATTTTGTTTTTGTATTGATACTCAGTTCAAAATTTCATAAGAGTTTATAAACTATATTTGAATTTTATTAATTAGAATAAACAATAACTTTCTAACAAATTTCCAGTAGTGACTCGCTTTTTTAGATTTTGGAAGCGTTATTTCTTTTCTTTTTTGCTCGGTACTATATGCCGATTCGGATTCAGATAAATTAATAGTAGGTTAGGGAAGAAAACGATCATTATAACATACCGGTTAGTTCTTTGTCTAGCTTGTTTACCTTATAACTTTTATCAGACACTATTTAATACTTTATTGGTTTCACATGCTAATCTGAAATGTGTTGCACTTTACAGCATGAAGTGTTCGTTATGGCACATTTTGAAAGTGTGATTGGGAACTGAAAACAGAAGAACTTGAGATTAAGACAAGGAAGTTATCATTACTAGACAGCTAGTGGTTGAACTGTTGATAAGAGTAACTTACCGCTACTACAGAGAAGAGGAAAGGAGTAAATGTCATTTTCTATAGTCGATAAGAGTTTTTCTTTATCAGTTAATTAGTGATGAAATGGTAACAGCCCATCCTACTTGAGATCTTGCCGTCTCGTGTTCGTTTAATCTTGCGGTCAGTCTGTGTCGAAACAGTTCACTCTTGATGTTCGAACAATCTTTCAACATGTTCTATGTAAGAAACATATATGTCAAAATGTATAAATTCAGTACATTTATCTTAGTCGGCTATATGTAGAGCTGTGCGAGTAAAAGAATACTTAGTAGATAAACTACTAATATATCTACAATACGACATATTCGGCTGCAATAGATTTCCTTAATAGGCTCTATGAGATTGTCACTGGCGATATATAAAACATTACATTTTTTGTAGTAGTGTATTTTATCGTATAATGTTATCTAGTTGTTTCTTGGTAGTCTGAATCTTCCATTGTAAAGAGACAGAAATAAAGTCAGATCACCAATCTAAACGATTAGAACTTCAAATATGTCGTTATAACGCAATTACATATCTGACTGGTTTTTTTCTAAATTGAATTGTATGAACTTTCTTGCCATTAATGTAAATAATTCGAATTCGTATAATAATAAGAATATTTTTACTTGAATAGTTAGAGAAATTAACAGTACATTTTCAGTATGGCAAATAAAGTTTCTATGAACTCAAAATCCACTTATCGAATAAATCAAAAGATATTCGCATTTTGCTTTTACATGGATTTTGAAATTCAAACTAATCTTACGATCAAAGTCTTCATTTATGGATTCTCAATTTTATTGTTCATAAATATATAGATCAAAATATACTGAGTTAATATTACTGACTTAAGCTATAAAAAGAACTTTGGTATTCTAGAACGGAGGCTTACTTCGATATGACGATAAACATATGAGAAATCGATCGTTCTGTATAACACATGCGGAACGACGTAATATTTAAAAAAATTCATTTAGTGAATGAATATAATTTTTTATACAATAAAAAATCTCTTAAAAATATATTAGTAAATTCTGCATTAGGATCAAGACAAAATTGAGTGTGAATTGGAAAAGATTTCGTTATCCAAGTATTCAAATATTTCAAGTAAGAAAGTCCAATCAAACTTTCATCAGTTACTGCATTATCAGAATTTCATGTCGATCTTCAAATCAAATAAATCGACTAATACGAAGAAATACATATTAAGACTGTGAGTTATATCGTATGATTTAATCTTCCGATCTTTGAACATGAACCATGTTATAAAAAAAAACATATATAGAACCTAATAATTGTAATTATAACATGTTTGACTAATCGGTAAAGCTCGATGAATGAAGAGTGAAGTACCATTAAATTGTAATAAGATTCGATTGCTACTTTTTATTAATACTGTGTTGTACTTCTATAATTTTATTCAGTTTATCTATTTAACAGGTTCATATATAGAGGTATCGGCTTATATAGAAATCACCGATGATAGCATCTAGACAAATCTTATATTCTCAGTAATAACAGTTCAAATATGTCGAGCTCTGTTTTGCTTGAAGTACTGTGGGGCAAACCTTTCTTGAATCTCATTACATTTTATTTTCAGAATGTTCCGATCCTAAATGTCCCGCGACATGGAACAAACAAGATTTTTTTTTCGAGATCTGGGATTGTCCTGTAAGACTCGAGTTTTTGGTGTTTATGTGTTTAATGAATTACTTTTATATGTATGTCTCATTTTATAAAAGTTTTTCATAATACCAAAGCATCTTGGTTGCTGCAAAACTAGTGTCTGACAATTCTTTTTTGCTGTTGAAATATATAGAAATCGAATCATTTAGTTTTCTTCTCTTTTCCTTCGAATATTCTTCATATTTTACTCGTTGGGATTATCGAATCTATTCTCTTTTATATCATTATTTACATTATACACTTTCAAAATTGAGTATTGTTTAAATTTTCAAGTTAACAAAATGATATATAATTCATCCTATTTCGAAATATGAAGTTTGATAATCGTATAAATAATTTTATGACTAAGAAATTGTTCTAGCAAAAAATCTAAGGCAATGAGTAAATTATTTATTTTTGAAATTATCTTCTCTCTTTTCCTTGAATGATATAAATTATATAGTAAAATAAAATGAATGACAAATAGTTATCTTTTGATATAAAAAAGAATTTCTTATTGATGAAAAATTTTCATATTGATGATTATCATCAAAGTTGCATGCAATTTTATTCTTCATTCTAAATTTTATTATACTATCAAAGAAAAAACATAAAATAATAAACTTTACAAAAGCGTTAATTAGTCTTATAAATCGTACATCAATATTTCATATATCCTTTTAAAGTTTATACTTATTTCATAAATTTTTCAAGGGTTAATTATACGTTTTATTTTCATAGAATCTAAGATGATTTATGAAAATTTGATATACTTCTTTTTTTTTTTTGAGGAGTGATACTCATATAAATCTATCCTATAATATTATTGCATATTCCTTTATCATTCTGAAGACATGGACAATGAGGAAACTTTTTATATCTTTGCTGTTATAATGTTTGTCGGTCTTGGTTTAATTAAAATAATCTTTTTATTGACAATTATTTATAATTATTATTTTCAATTGGAATACAAAATGTCGATCAATTCTTATTCTTCATGTATACAATTCATGTATTAGTAGACTGTTTTATGTCTTTGGTATATTTATATAAATTTCTCTTCTATTTGAAACTACTTATCAAGAAAATCATTATATTTCATTACATTTTTGTGAAATTCGTGGTATATCTAATTCAAGCAATTTCTCGGTATTTTATAACAATTTATCATAAACGAACAATTCTTCTTACATTTCGTTTTAATCTAATCATGATTTTTATCAGTTGGATAATAGGTTTACTTGTTGCAAGCCTTTCATTTCGTACACCATTTGCTTATCGATGTAAACCAGAATCTCATTTATGTATTATTACAAGTAAAGGTTTTTCAATATCATTTTATCTAAGAATTTTTATATTCTTAATTCCTGTGATTATAATTATTTGTCTCTATGGTACTGTTCTATGGTATACAACACGTTTTAATCGTATTCATCCAGAAAATATTTCTATAATTAGAACTAAACGACATATAAAAGTATTTCGAAATATTCTTATTATTTTAACTGTATTAATTATTGGTTCAGTACCTTATTTTATCTCAATTATAGTAAATAGTATAACTTAAACTCCACAAATATTTAATTTGATTTCGGCTATACTTATTTCAATGGCTTATACATTCGAATTAATAGCTATTTTTTTTCTACTAATGAAAATGCTAAAACAATTTTTTACATAAAAATTGGTTGGCATCATGTTAAACCAATTAATAACATACCGATGCAAAGACGAAGAGAAGAATGTGTGACAATAATATAAACAAAACTGAACTTTTACTAATAGAATGTATTTAATAAAAAGTTTTCGAAAATCTTTAAAATAAGATTGTCAATGTAACATTATTGCAAAAATGAAAACTAAATTGATTTTTCTTCACTATTGTTTGTCAATATTTAGTTGGTTGAGAACTACGAAGAGTAACGATATTATATAGAAACATTTTTCAGGTCAATGATTTCGGTGTCTGGATTCATGAATTTTTGGCAGATTTCAACCTCAAGGACGCCGTTTCCAGTTGGCAAGCTCAGGAAAATGATAGGAACTTGGAAGCAAGAATCTGATGATCGAATTTTTCTAGTTCAAATAGTAACCCAGCAGAACTGATTACCGGATTCTTGTTTCGAAATTTCAATAATTTCCCAGAACTTTCCAGCCGAAAACGGTCAGTATTTCTTGACCTGGTTTACTTAAGATTCTATTTTATCAAATGTTCGAACAGCTTTCCTTTAAATCATTTGTAAACGAGGGTATGGTAAATTCCGATTTCCTGGAAATTCAAATTTTTCAACATCTGAGAAATGAAGTGTCCATTTCCTGGATTGGGATGGATCGGGTTGGGTCAAACCCATAAAGAATGTATATCTATAGATGAATATAAAATCGATGATTTGATTTCGAGTTGGGTTAGGTTGGGCCAAGTCAATGAAGAATATATATCTATAGATCAAAATAAAATAGACGATTTGAGACACAACCCAACCCGACCCAACCCCAGCTCAATCCAATCGGTCCCGAGATTGAATCATATACTTTATATATACATATAGATATATAGATATGTATTCTTACTTGGCTTGACTCACCCCAACTCAGCTCATCCCAATGCTAACTCAGGCTTCAACTTCATTTCTATATTCTTTTTTTGTTAGAAGAGTTTCTATGATTATCCTTAAAAGCATTCAATTAAATTTCCATGAAATATCTTCTGTAGTCACTTTTTTGAATTTCCTGGAAATCGGAATTTACCATAGCATGTTGTAAACCTATATTAGCTACGGCACGATGTAAAGTTTATTAATTGTTCTAACAAGGGAACCTTCTCAACTTGAAAATCGTTTTTGAGTTTGGGTTATGTACATAAGTTGGATTCAAATGCGGTATTAAAACCACAAAAGAATAAGGACCCCTAGATCTTTCCTATAGAGTTATAGCCGATTTACTGAAATGTTAGTTTACAGCACAGTATGTACAAAAGAATCGAATGACAATATTTTAACCTGAGCTTTTGCCTATGAATAGATTTACTTGTTACTAGAATATCCTGAAAATTTCAGCTCATTACTTCACGAAATATTGAATTTCCAAAAGTCGCTAATATTTCACGAAATATTCGAGAATCTCATGTTTGTTGAAAATTCAATATCTCGTGAAGTAATGAGCTGAAATTTTCAGAATATTTTAATTGCAAGTAGGTCTATCTATGATCAAAAGTTCAGGTTCATATACTGTCATTCGATTTTTTTATACATACTGTACTATAGGCTAAAATTTCAGAAAAACAGATGTAACTCTATAGGAAAGGTCTAAGGCACTTATTCTTTTGGGGATCTTTAATACCTTAGTGGAGTCTACTTTATGCATAAAGTTCGAACTCCAAAGCAATTTTAAAGTTGAGAAGATTTTCTTGTGAATAGGCTTAATAATAAAAACGTATAGCATGGTGAATTTGAAGAATTTCATAATTGTCTTTGTCCTATATGATTAATTAATACAGGATCATCTGTCTTGAAAAATGTCACAAGACAGTGTTGTAGGAAGCAAGTGACTTAGTTAAGTTTTAGATAAGAATTACTTGATCTTTGTTCAATTTGTTTATAAAAGAACTCATAATTGTCATATCTCGATTAAGTTTTGATAACATTTTTATTTTCGTACTAAATAATTAGATTTAGAAAAGTTGATCTGAATTTCGTAGCTTAAAGACAGATGAATAAACAAGGACAGTTCGTAGGAATGAATAAATATTTATTACTTTTCAATCAACTATTAAATAAAATATTTAAACTTAATTTATTTTTATAAGTGAAAATTTATAATTAATTTTGAAAATTAAAAGAAATAAATAGTCTATTTAATATTAATAATTATTAACAATTAGTACATTCGTTATGTGATTTAAATAGAAACGGTTAGGAGCACTTTTAATAAATAAAATATTATTTTCTTTTTATTAAAGGTCTTTCATATTAAACAATATCAAGTTGATTTTTAGATAGCTTTTTTCATATTGTGTATTGAATTGTTGACAATGAATAATTCTTTCTATTGGTTTTTTTCTGTCAAGACATCTCACTTGTGAATTTTTCCTATACTACTAATTTTGAATAATGCATGAAAATTTCTTCAAGATTATTAATATTATATTTATTGCTTTTATTATAATAACTATTATTTTTTCTATTATAATCATTTTAACTACTATATATAATTATTATTCACAATTTTGACCGATCGTAAATCTACTGCTATTAAATTCTTGTGTTGCGTTGATCGTTTTAGTTAATACTAGTTTTTTAGAGTATAAGTCTTCACCCACACTCACGCTCTAATTATTCATGATATACATAGATTCTAGAGTATTCACATTTCCAATCAATTATATATGAATAGCGATTGTAGATTAATAAAGGTGCGTTTTTTAGAGATTTTTGATATAGTAACTGACATAATCGTCTTTTGTAAGGTTATTCGGTTAGTCTGTGTGTCTTGTTGAATCCAACTTGTCTTTATATTAGAATCATCAATTTGATAAATATTAGAAAAATTAACTCAATCAATTTATGATGAAGATCATCCTTTCACAAGAATTGAATTTATTATATTTTGTTATTTTATTTAAAATTCTTATAAAAATTTGCATGGCGAGCAATTATCCATGTCTCGGAGTTAGATGTATTCTTTATAGTTTTGCTAGAAGAATATAAAATTTTTTTAATAATCCTTCAATGACTACATTAATGGTTGTCTTATGAATATGAACTAAGTACATTCATTTGTCTGACGATAAAACAATCAGCTCACCTAATTGAATTATAATGATGATATACAATTGTTTGTTGAGTAAAGTTATTTTTTTGAGCCAGTCTGTATTTCACCATTGGCTATACCAATATGAGAGTGAATTTCGAATTTGTACACGTACGACTGAAATTTTTCCTACATGGTTCAGTCTAGAGATTTATTATTTTCTATATTCTCACTTACTACATAATGACAAAAAAGAAACATTTGAGTATTTAAAAATGTTTTTCTTTGTTAGTATTGTGATGATTCGTGAATCTTGATATTTTTTCTATGTTGTTATTGTTGCTAATGTAATTGAAATTTCATGATCATTATATTCATTTTAGGTTTTGTCGACTCTATTTAAAGCAGATTTCGACGCAGAGACACTTTTTTTTTACTAATGAATAAGTGAAAAACTTGTTTTATATTAAAATTTGTTGTCTTGAAACAGTTAGAATCGACATTATTACAGAAACTAATTAGTTTGTTTATTTATAGATATTCAATAAGATGACAATATATTTTTATTTGATTGTATTGTTGAAATAAACTTGTTCGTATATAGTTGAAATGAAGTGTAATAAATGAATAGTAGTCAATGTGAGCAAATAATGTTGATGTTCTTATCAAAAGAAGACCTTCAAGAGCTAATAATTTGTTTATCTTTCTGTTATGCAACATTTGAATACACATTTGAAGGTTATTTCTTTACAAATTATAATTTCTTTTGATCTTCTGTCTTTTCAAATGATTCTAATATTGTTCTTGTTATGCTTGATATTGCTAAGATTACAGCATCATTTAGTAGATTATGATCTTAAAGCGTAACAGTTGCAATTAAAGGTTTAGTCCTATAGTTGATTAGACTTTCTATCCATTTTATTGACATGCGTGGTAATATGAAATTGTTAAGTTACAAAAAAAAATCGATATAATTCTACAAAATTTTGTTCAGTAATGCCATACTGTTACTGAAATCCTTAAATCCTAATCGAACCCACTACTTTCTATGGAATTCTAAATTCTTTTCTAAAAATTTTATGAAAGAATCAAACTTAATATCTTTTTAAAAAAGAAATTCTCACTAAATTATTAAATTTCTCTTTGTCATTCATGATGATTTATTTACTATAGCAGATTTTTATTCATAAAATGACTATTAGATAAATAAATAAATAATAATATGAGCCTTATTTAACATGTTCTCATCTTGAATGAAGTTATAAAATATAAAACAAGTCAAAGATCGTCGTAGATTATTAATTTACATCTTCGTTTCTCTTGAAAATGAGTTACAAAAATTCTTTTATTTTCATAGGAATCTTTTCTCATTCTATAATGCAAGCATATTATTCAATAAATTTAATATTTTTCAGCAAATATCAATGAAGATACAAAGTTATTACAAAAGTAATATTTATGACTTTATAAGTTAATACAATATTAAATAATAGTTTCATGGAAAAAACAGTACATAATAAATTGTAATGTACGTGTGTAAAATAAAATAAAACAGGAGTTAGATACATTTTATGCTATTTCTCTGTTGTGTAAAGCCGATATAAGCATATATTATAACTAATGAAATAATAATACATTAAAATAATTGTCTTCAAAGTATTTTGCTTTGTTCAGAACAATCACTACTATTAATAATATGTAGTGTTTTTTCTACAAAAATGAAAATTAGTGCAGTACTTCCAAGATTAACGGACAAAAAAAATCATTGAACCAGAAGGAATATCAATAAATTCGATAATCTCGATATAAAAAGCATAATACACCTATTACTTGTATCAGATGATTTTCTCCTACGAAGTTCCAGTGTTTTATTTCTTGTTTTTTCGTTGCTCACCAATTTTCAAGAAAACGCTCGATCCTCTCCCATCCTAGCGGCATTGGATCATTCTTCTCTTCAATGAAACTACTCTAAAGACTTTTACATTCTTCATTTATAATAAGATTTCTATAATTTTACTTTCGTTTTATTATTTTCATAAAACAAATTTTTGTGTTCCTAAATGTTTCACAACAAATAAATTCTATTTATATATAATAGAGATCATTCTATAATGTTTTCAAATTTTGGTTCATATTTAATTCATTAATAATTCTCGAACATAACCACATTTAACAAATTCATTGAATTCTAAATAAACAGAAAAAAATTTATTTTTGTTTAGTTTGAATTTCTTGTTTTTTTTTTTGTACCTTTAAATGAAATATGATTATTACGATTAGTAAATGTTTGTCGAAGATGTTCATATAATAAAATTTTTTTTTCAAAATCATTTTCATTTGTATTAAATGCTTTAAGTAATATTAAAAGTGAATCAAATTCTTCTTGTTCAATTGTACCATTTGAATTTTGATCAAATAAACAATCAAATGTTGAACGTAATATAAAATCATTTATTTCAGCTGCATTATTAGCAAATACAGGAGCAATTAAATCAATAAATTGTTCAAAATTCATATTAAGTAATTCTGAATATAAGAAAAAAAAAATAATAATAATAATAATAGAAAAAGAAATATCTATTTATTTTTCAAACTAACTTTTTGAAGAAATATATTTTTGTGCTTCAATAAATTGTTTTTCAGTCATTCGTAATTGAAAACTTTGACATGGATTTGCTTGAAACCAACAAAATTCAACTATAAAAAAAAAGAAAATAATAATAAATAAAACTAATTCAAAATTTTCATTACAAACCTTCAACAACACGTTTTCCAATTGTTTTAATATATTTTGAATATTTATTAATAAGTTCAGCATTGAATAATGGTGTCGTTTGTTGTAATCGTTTTTGTTCGGCAAGTACTTCAAGACTCATATTTTTCTCAAATAATATCAATTGAAAATTATTTTCTTTTTTTTATTTTTATTTCTTTTTACACATATCAAAACTATTTCCTCGTTATTTTCATACTTAGCTATTCAATGAAACTGATGAATTTATTTAAATGTTCATGTAAATGTATCATATGATCATGAAGAGGGAAAAAAGTAAATGCCAAAAAGACTAATGAATATATGGATAGAATGACTTTATTTAAATATGTGTATCAAAGAATAAGAGAAAAAGGTCGTTTTATTTTTGTTTGATTCATCAATGTGAAAAACTAAAGATTCATATGACGCATATGTTGATGAGAATAAAATGAGAGTGACATATAATTCAATCCTACTATCGTAACATTTCATATAGAATACCCTTTGGCCAGAAGCAACAGATGATGACTTCTTCTCATTCTTCCTCCTACTCTATTTGGTTACGTTTTGAACATTCATAATCATGAATCCATATTGCATAAAATAAGTCAAAATATAAAATCAATTTTGACATTCTTTTGTTAGTAATATAATTGAAAAAAAATTGATTGTCTGATCGATAAAAGAAAAAATGACAAGAGCAATTTTCTTTAGTTCACTGCTCTTTTTCTTGAGGTCATATGTCAGAGGTTAGTCGATATCATATTGAATCAAATACCTTCAAGTTATTGGTTACCTTTTTTCTTTTTCTTTTTGTATAATAATTGAACTAGAAAATAATAAATCATTTTGTATTTGATCATTCTGGTTTATCTAAAATATTTTTCATTCGTTTAGCCATATAATACCAATCATAAATATAATCATATTTATAATGATATTTTAAAAAAATAGAACGAATTTGTGAACGTATATATATATAATCAGGTTTTTCATTAAATGTTAATGAACGAATATAATTATATATTATTTTATATTGTTTAGGTAAATTTTTAAATAATTCATTTGATGTTATATTCATTTTTTTCATTGCAATTAATTCATATTTTTTTCTTTTATCACTTGCTTTTATACCCATCCAAGGTAATTCACCTTTAGATAAATAAATAAGAATATATATTAATGATTCAAGATCATCACGACGTGATTGTTCATATCCTTGATGTGTATATATACCTAAAATTTATTTAATCTATATATATATATATATAAATATATGTAGAAATGATTAAAAACAAAACAGAAGAATATTTACTAGCATAACGAGCAGTGCCTGTTAAACTTTTACCATAGGTTAATGATATATGAATATGTGTAATTGGATCTCGATATTGTTTACAAAGACCAAAATCGATAACATGTAATATATTTGCTTTTTGTTTTATACCCATAAGAAAATTATCAGGTTTTAACTAAATAAAGTATAATTATAATAGAAATTTAAATAATTCAATTAATTATTTACGTCTCGATGAATTAAAAATCTTTCATGCATATGTTGAATACGTAAAATAGCTTGATCAATAAGCATAAGAACTGTTTTTTTACTAAATTTTCTTTGACAAAAATTAAGTAAATCTTCAAGTGATGGACCTAATAAATCCATAGCAAGAATAATAAAACCTTTTTCTTCAATAAGAGTTATCATTGATGGATAACCTAGACCTAAAAATATATTGATATTATAGAAATAATAAAATTCATGAAAAACTAATTTTTACAATTTTTCATTCTTAAAAATATTTGTTGTTCAATATGTAATTGTGGATGTTTTGAATCATTTCGTTCAGTTTTAATAGCACATAATAAATTAGTTGTTATATCTTTAGCAAGAAAAACTTCACCAAAAGAACCTGAACCAAGTCGTTTTAATATTTCAAAACGATGATTAATTATAGATGATAAAATTTCGAAACGATCATCCTCTTTTTCTTCTTTATTAGTAATTTTAACAATCGGATCACCTTGTATAATTGGTACATTTGCCATGAACCATGGTTAATTAACGCTATAATGCGTTCATTATTACCTCTGGGTTTTTTTTCTATTAATAAAGAAATTATTTATACAAAAAAAAATTTTATAAAATTCGGGCGCCCTAAATCAATGCAATATCGATTGTTTTTTTTCAGCAGTATGCATCGTTAAAGTATCTAAATTACATTAGGAATGCCTGATGGAAAATGAAGCAGTACTTTAAAAAAAAAAGATGCTAGAATTATTAAGTTTTCCAATTTTTGGTTTCAATTTTCACCGATATGTTCGTCAAATTTCTAATCAATACATTCCTCATCATTATTTTCGTTATTCTCACTTATATTAAAACTTCATCAGAACGTTTATAGAATCAACAATACCGGAAATGTTTGTCACACATAGAAAATCGCTAAGATATTTTATTATTTAAAGCTAAAATTTTTACGATGATTGATCATCAAAGAAATCAATTAGCTTAATTAACATTTTTAATCAAGAGACTTTAAAATATCCGAGTTTTCGAATAAAACGTAAACAACAATGATTCATATTGAAATTCTTCCAAATCAATCCAGTTTATCAATACAGATTGTTTCATAAGTCTTGAAGCGTGACAATGTTAGTTCATATGCAGACAAAATCGTGACATATTATTGAAATCTTGCAATAATAAGAATACAAACGAAAAACACTCTTACATTAATCTAATTATACAAAAATCTCATTTAACTATGACGTATTTGTTATCTACCACATTGTTTAATTGATTCGGCAAGTCTCTTAGAAATTTTATTAATCATTACAAGTTTTTTTTTTGCATTCTTGTTCAATCTAGTTTTTTTGTGCGACGGAAAAAATTCTTCTTCTCATATTTTTTCCTTTAATATTTCTCATACACTTTCATTGAGAGCATACGTCAGCTTCTTTAAGATAAAAGTCTATTATTAAATAATTCATCAATAGTTCAAAATTCAATCTTTGTTCTTTGTATTTCGTTCTACACACGACATGTTCGTATATTTTATCCATTTCAATCTCGTTACTTACTACATCATACATAGCTTGACTGAACATGTAACCAATGAATCATGATGAGTTTCGAACAATATAAATAATTATTGATTCTTTTTTTATATAGAATTGTTCAGCACTTTACAAAAAAAAAATCACGTTTCATCGATTTATCATCACATTCTCAATGCTTATATTTTTATTATTAAAAGAGAAGATCAGTATTGTATTCAGATTTTCTCTTCCGGAAGGATGAATACCTATTTTGAGAGCACAAATACCTTGTACATGTTCCAGTAACTACAAATTTTCGGAGTGGTGCTGTTCCATTGACCCTCATGCTGAATACAACACTTGAGAAGATATTATCTAATAGTATGTCGTTTGAAAGATTGCCACATAGAATCATATAAAAACATTCAGTTAGAAATTATTATTTTCTATCTGCGTATAAACTAATTTTTTGTCGTCCCTTAAGACTTATGAAATACTCTGTGTATATATCAATAACATTATCAAAACAAATATGAGATGTTGTTTTTTTTTCTTTTAATTCAATTAAAATTTTCTCATCTCGAATAACAATTAAAGAAAGAAATAAAAAAAAAAGAACAATAACTTCTAATATGTCTTCAAATCATAGTATTAATTTTTTCTTTTGTTTCAGTTATATTAAATAATCATTTGTCTGTAATTAACGAACATGAAATCAAACAAAAGAATTTTATTCTTATTTTTTCTTTTCTGTTGTTGAATTTTTCATACAAACAACAATAATAAGAACAAGAACAATAAACAAGCACAAGAAAAAAAAAGAAAAAGGAAACTAACACACAAACATATATAAAGATAAATGTAATTTTATTTTGATTCACTTGAACTTGATCGTGAATATCGACGTTCTTTTCTCTTAGGTGATTCAGCCGTATTTCCACTTGCACCTGTTCGTCGACCTGATGTCGGTGGTGATTGTCCACGTCGATAATTTCTTGGTGGTGGTGAATATCCACTTCGTCGATCATTATATCGTCCTCGATCACGTTCACGATCTCCCATACGTCTTGGTGGTGGATAATGACGTGATGGTGGTAATGGTGAACGTCGACGTCTTCGATGATATGGTGATAATTCACGACGATTTCTATCAGCAGATAAATGTGGTGGTTGACCATGAACAAGTACACAAACAATTTCTTGTCCATCAATTTGTCCAGTTTCCATATATTTACATGCTTGTTCAGCACCATTTGATGAAACATATTCAATATGTGCAAAACCACGATGAAGATTCGGATGTATACGATGTGATGGTAAATCAATTTCTTTAATTTCACCAAATGTTCCAAAAATTTCAGCTAAATGTTCTTTAGTAACATTTAATGATAATTTACCAATATAAATTTTCGTTGCTTCTTTTTCTTGTCGACGTGATGATGATGATGGTGGACTTGCATTACGATGTGTTGAAACTGTTGGAACAATCGGTTTTTTCTCATCAACTGATCCATGTTCTAAAGATTTTTTATTTGATGATTTATTATTAATAACTTTAGTTGATGTACGATCATTCTTTTTTTCTGGTGACGATGCACCTGAAGATGAACGACTAGTTGATGATGATGAGTTTGATGATGATGATGATGATGAACGACTTGAAGCTGATGATGAACTTGTTGTACCTGATGAACTTGATTCACTTGAGCTTGAACGTGATGCACGTTTACGTTTTGCTTTTAATGGAGATTCTTTTGGATTTTTTATTGTATCTGTTTCAACTGTCATTCTAGAATTGATTATATAAATTAGAATTTATTAAAGAAAATATTTTTGTTTTATTTACTTTTTTTCTTTTGTTTTCAATCGATTTGTTTGAATGTATTACAATTGAAATTAAACAATGATCTAAAAGGAGAGATTAGCTATTTGATTAGAAATATATATAGTTAAATATGTTATCAATGAAATAAATTTGAGATTATAATAGTTGTGACATTTTAAAAAAGATGCCGAACAAACCAGAAAGAGTATGAAAATGTCTAAATTATAGCAACGGCCATCTTTTGTATAAATGAAGGTTGTTTACGTCCAATGAAATGTTGAGTATATACCTCTTTGGTGGTAAATATATTGAAAAATGATTACAAATTGTATATTAAACATGAGAAAAATACAAATAATTTATTATTACATAAAATACAAGAAATGTTCTGTAGATGTCACTTGAGGAGGAAAAAGTGTTTCATAGCAACGGATCATTTTCCAATCCTCTGATCTGATAATTAGTACATCATATACAAATGTTTATTTCTTTGTCACAAATAACAAAAGTAAGAACTTTCAGATAGTTATTCAATTCAACAGAATTTGAAAGATTCTGTTCAATGAAAATATTTAAAACGAATGATTATTTGAAAATCATATAATCAATTTTTAGATATTTTTATTTTAAAAAATATTGCTTAAAACAGTGGCAGATCCAGAATTTCAATCGGAGAAGTGGAAGATGTGACAATTTTAATTTTAAATGATATCTTCCCAGGTTATGTGAATTTCTCTGTATCATTTTCTGTACAATAAATTTAGAAATTCATGAATAAATAGCTTTTATTAAAAATCAATGAGAAGTAAAACATAAAAAACTTAAAGACAATTAGATTCTGAAATCTCATCAATAATAAAATCAACTTTAAAATCTAAATCTTAGTAAATACATATCATAGCTAATTTATGAAGCCTTGTCTCTGACATTGTGTTATATGATTTATAGATGTAAAAAATATTTGACTTGTTACAACATTATTTTTAGCATTTCATCTTTATATAAGTCAGAGTTTCTTCCTCAACATTTAGCGAAAAGAACAGATCTTTTTTTCAAAAAATATTAAAAAGAACTTTTAGACACACAGTTACATTATTCCTTTTTAGATCTGATTTTCAGTACTGTTTCATTTTAAATACTTCAAATTTCTATTTATTTTTGTTTACTCTTAAAGTATTTTGAAATTAATTATTAATTAACGGTAGTAATGTTCAGCGTTCTTTTTGCATTTGACACTGTCACTCATCAAAGATCTCTACTAACCCTTGGAATCGCTTTTAAGCAATCGCGATTGGTATTGTTTAACAACTTTCTTGATTTTAAGAGTCTGATTGTTCTGTGAAAATATTTATTAGTGAAACTTGATGAGCGGTAAAATGCATAACCAAAAGATACTGATTTCAATTTTGATCTCTCATCAGTATTATTTTATTTTCCTAATTAGTGGATTGAGCGAATCATTCTATAAAATGATAACTGTGATAGTTGTGTTATAACCAATTATTAGTTAGTGAATAAAAAAGTGTAATGTAACCGAGTTTATAAAATTAAAAGTTTCTGTTATGTTTATTTCAATAAGAAATAAATAAATGCATATATATTTTTTTAATATACAAAATAGCTATGAGAGTTCTGTGGAAATAACTTTTCTCAATTTTCATTCTCGTAATATTTTCAGAATTCCTATTATGATTTCATTTTTCGTGTTTGAGAAAAACTATCACTACCAGATAGTAGTTTCTGTCAACGTCACACTTTGCACAACTTAAAGTGATCTTAAATTAAAAACGAAATTATTATTGGATGCACATTTTCATAACATAAATCAATTATTATTTATACGTTAAAATTTATTAAGATTAAGTTAAGAGAATTATTTCTTTTATCAATTGAACAATTGAAGAAAGAAAAAAAGTGCTAGTACATCAGCAACACCGATGAAAAAACGAAAACATTCAAGAGCAGAAGAGAATAATATTAATGTTATTTGAGAGATAATCTGAATAATAGTCCTTTTGAAGATGATATTTAAATTATAATTTAATAAATAATGAATAAACTTGTCTACTTTATGTTATTTTTCTTTTAATTGACAAGTGGTGGACAAGTCTTTGGAAGAATGTTGAAATCTATTTATCAACACACTCTAAAAAATGCTATGTGTCTTACAAGACAGTTCAAGTGTCTATTTTGCATTAATTTTGCTTGAGCGTCTAAAATCGGTTATCCGTTGACACATGGCGCGTCTTATTGAGACAGGTGATGCGGCTTTTTTTTTTTAGACATATAGTGTGTCTTAGTAAGACGCGCCACGTGTCAATGGATGATCGATTTTAGACGCTCAAGCAAAATTAATGCAAAATAGACACTTAAACTGTCTTATCTAAATGTCTTCATTTTTTAGAGTGCAATGTAACATTTGCGTGATCTCGACATTTTTTATTTAAAAAAGCAAAGTATGGAGAATATATAAATAAAACAAAATAATTTTCGAGAAAATCCATTTTTAATATCGTTCTCGTAGGACATTAAACAAGAGACAACATGCTCAATAATCTACACATGTTGTGTTTGTTCATTCGATATCGTCTGTGTATTCTCAAGACCATCAAATTAATTTCGTATAAATCAAATAATACATATGACACTTAGAGAGAAAATTATATGTTTTTGTGGATGCCAAACCTTTGACTATAAAGATGTATGTAGGAGTTGATACAATTGATAATAGAAATATATGTTTTTGTTTGAACAATAATTGTCTCATTAGTTCAATTGAAGTAGAACGACAGTTATTATTAGTGATGCTTGAGACTTCTATTTACTGAAAAAAAGCGAAATAAGATATAAAATGCTATGTCAGCACATAAACATGTGATTACCAACGATAATTAGGCAAATATCAAAATATTTATTACCGATCATAAAATTGTACATAGTCAGACAATAATTTATTAATATTTGATACAATTTGTTTATTAATCGAACTATAATAACATAAACTCAACATTCACGCAGTAGTTCTGTTGTATTTTTTTATTTACAAATGGTTCAGAACGACTGCTGTGTAAAATATGGCATATATTATTTCTGTTATGTAAAACAGAGAACATCTATATTTGTCATGTATCGATAATATGTTTACACATCCTTGCTTATTTGTTATTATTTCAGATTTAACTTCTTGAGAACGAGATTACTTTTAAAAGAATAAAGGAAATTTTCGAAATCTTCATTTCATATATTTATTCATATCGATATGAAAAAAATGTCTAAAAGTACTCTAGAATATAATAATCTTGAAAACAACAGAAAATACAAAGTTTGATGTCACATTCAGTACATTCATATCTAGTGTCAGTTTACTTTCTAGTTCTTATTGGTTTTTGCACAAAACACGAATTTTCTTTGAGGATTTTTCTGTTGTCGATGATTGAGGATATAAGTAGAAGTGTACGTCGCCACCACTACACAAAAATAGATATTTAACTTTTAAAAATTTCCGATGTTCTAAATCAGTTTTTCGAGATGTTATCGTCTGGTTTCTTGTGAATAAGTTTTCTATCATCATTTCAACATTTCTCAAAATGAAGGAAATTTTTGTTAAAAATTCATTGAAAAATTTCGGTCATCATTGCCAACAGAGGAAGAAAGTTAGAATAAATCTAGCCACCATCGTCGTCAATCTATGCATCGATTTGTACCTCTAAGCATAAGTAATGAAAAATGGCAACCACTAAGGGTGTAGGTGCGGACACTTTCTTTACCCATATGCAAAATATATTAGGCAGTGGAACAGATTGACGGTCTATATGCTACAGCAGACCATAACAGCATTATAAAAAGCATGTGCTAACAAATTTGGAGCTGATTTGAAACTGGACCTATGTATACATCTCCTGTTTTCGACTGCTTAAGAGAGCTTCCATGAGCTGATCGAGCATCGCTTCAACATATAGGCACCCGGTAAAATTTTTTTTTTCGATTTTTTTTGCTCATTCAAAAGTTCAATGTCTAAAACTACTAACCCTAAAATTTTAGGTTCTAATACCCTTCCTATGAAAAGTTGGCCAAGACCAACTTTTGGCACTATCGGGCCTTTTTGTGGAAAAATAAGAAAAAATATTTTATAGAAGATGTGCTAGCATACGTTTCAGCAAATCATTGAGATTTTTTGTGGTATACATAGGAAGATAGAGAATTGACAACTGAATAAAATGAGCTAGATTGATATAATATAATTGCTAACAATTTAAGTTTTATAGAGCGAATATGAGTCAAGGGGTGGACTTTTTGATCAGTGCAAATAAACAGTATAACTCGTGCTGTATTTCAGAATTAAGCGGGACCAGACTGAATTTTATATATGTTGTGCAGTTTTTTATTCTCTACAAAATGGTAAAAAAATATTTGAAAAAAAAGGGTATGCTCGATGTGAAAAAGAGTTTATACTGCCTAATTTTTTATGGTTTTTGATGGTTTTTCGATAAAAAATGAATATTTTTAGAGGTTTCCTTTCTCATAGAATAATGCTAAAGCAAAGCAAATATGATATTCGGAATCAGCGTCAAAAGCTGCATACAACCATATATATTTCAGCCGAAACTTTTCCCTGACCAAAATGGACCTGAGGGAGACCAGGGAGAAAAATTTCTTTTACATATAGCTGTAGGGGACCACAGGTCAGTTTTGGCTAGGAAAAACTTTTGGGTGAAATATATATGGTTGTATGCAGCTTTTCACGCTGATTCCGAATATCATATTTGTTTTGCTTTAGCATTATTCTATGAGAAAGGAAACCTCTAAAAATATTCATTTTTTATCGAAAAACCATCAAAAACCATAAAAAATTCAAAAAGGCCCGATAGTGCCAAAAGTTGGTCTTGGCCAACTTTTCATAGGAAGGGTATTAGAACCTAAAATTTTAGGGTTAGTAGTTTTAGACATTGAACTTTTGAATGAGCAAAAAAAATCGAAAAAAAAAATTTTATCGAGTGCTTTGTATACTCGATGCTCTCATGGACGCTCTCTTAATAATCTATTATCACAAGAGATTTTAGATGATCATAAAAATATGTGCACAGAAATATCCTTGATAAAAGACAATAGAGATCTATTATTCTAGAACTCTGTTCATAGACTGTCATCATCTTGTTTATCTTATCATCGTTTTCTTTTGCTTTACGTTAAAGCACTGCAACTAAAAAAACCATAATTTAACGTTCAACTATTTCTGTACAATCGATTAAATCTTTTGTTTGATTTATAAAGCCACATCATTGTCGAATATTTCAGAACAATTTCTTGAAAACCAAACAAAATATGATACATTGTTGTACTTAATTTAAATCCAATTTAAAACATTTATTTTGACCAATCATTTACATACAATTAAGAAAAAAACAAAGAAAATAACATACATACAATATAAATAAATTCAAATTTGCCTAAACAATTATAACGAAAAAGTTGTGTCATGTTTTATTATTATTATGTTTTTCTTACAACCTCTAAAATACATATCATATAATGTCATATTAATCATGCATATAAATATATTAAATGTAAGCATTACTCCACAAGTGAAATATATAAATATTAATCCGATAAACAATGAAGATTAACTATGTCATTTGGAATAGACTTGCGTTTCTAAAATAAAAAAAAACAAGTAATAACAGATTTCGATTATAATGATTCAATCATACTTTTGTTGGTTGTATTGGTTTTTCACAATTACGTTCATTTACTTTTCGTTTATCTTTTACTGTTTCTTGAATACTATCATGATCATCACCAACCGATGATAAATCAAATACATGTGCACAATTCGGACATGAAAGTGTTTTCCTTTTGAGATTTTCCGGTGGTACTTCTTTAAATAAAAGAATATTTGTTTGTTTAATATTTATATTTAAACAATAAATATTTATTTCTTACCGGTGAGAACTGTTGAGTAAACAGTTGTATCCCATTCAGGAATAAAATTTTTTCCATTTGAACTTAATGCACAATATGTAAATGCTAATTGAGATTTATCCAATTGATACTTTTGAATTAATTGTTTTGGATGTAATTGAGGCATTTGTTTAAAATTATTTTTATTCGATATACCAAAAACATCTTGCAATGGACGAAATGGTTTGAGAGGTTGAAGTGATTTTAATTCATCTTGTTTCGATTTAATTAATACCAAATACAATCTAAAATAAAAAGAACAAAATAGAATCGAAAAAGAAATCGATGTAAATTACGAACTTCATCATTCCCGCCTTATCAGTTTTGATGGGCATATATACTGGATTACAATCTGATACATCAGTTGATACATTATCTCGTTGAAATCGATAGGGCATAGAATATCGCTCATGCGATTCAGTAGGTATTGTTAGCCAATCGACTCGAATCCCACCAGAAACACCCAATGGTATCTAAGATATTAATAGAAATAATAGAATTCAAGAAAAAATTTTATAAAAAAATTCCTAGTACTTGGAGTGTAATAAAATGATTGCCAACGCGATCGGCCACATATCTTGGCTTACGACTCTTTCCATCGTGTGTAAAATAATCACTTTTATATCGTGCTCGAAAAAATTCTTCTAATGGAAAAACAATTTGTATTTGATGTGACGGTTTTATTGATATTTGTGGCTGGCCAACACCAACAGACGATGACAATTCAATTGGTCTTGTATTTGATTTTGACTCATTTTTATTCTCTATTAAAAAATAAGAAAATAAAATATTTCATAATTCAATGTAATTAGAAAATTTTCATTACTCACCTATAGGTGATACAAATAAATCATTTATTAATGCACGAGTATCATCACGTTCGAAAGAAAGATCTGAAAATAAAGGATTAATAGAAAATATTTTATTTCTTTTTTTTTTTTGTAACTTTTTTTTTTACCTCGAGAGTTTCCTGGTCCGAGATATCGGTCGAGCTCATCTGATTCAACGGGATTTCCTATTGATTCTAAATAAAAAAGAAAATATCAAACAACATTATATTTTCCATTAGATATTATTTTCAAATCTTACCAGTGAAATTTTGGCAATTATATTCACTAGAAAAAGGAGAATTCAATGAAAAAAAATCTTGGCCAAATAAATGATCAAGGCCCAATTCAGGAAATAATTCATTTTCCTCTTTTATAGATAATAAAATGTCGCTGTTTGCTTCTACAGATATGCGTTCATATTGTACATTATTCACAAATGCCATATTCCGAGTAATTGTGGACTATTAATTTTTTATCTTTTTTTTTTCGTCGATGTTGGTGACGGGCGATGATATACAGTTAAATTCTAAGCACCAAAATTCTTGTCTACAAGAAAATTATCGTTTGTCTCTTTTTTTTTATAGCTGCTAAATTGACTTTCTTACCTTTGTCGATTGTTTTTTTGTTTATAGTCTTTAGTTTTTATGTTATACAGTATTTATATGAAAAAGCAAACCTGTGTGCATTGGGTTTTTTCCGTGCCCTATTTACACTCAGGAAGTACAGAATGAAAAAAAAACTTATGACTCATATGTTTCATAAGAAAACAAAATAATACATTGCTTGCACAAAAAAAAACAGTATTGCATGTCTGATTGAGAAGGCAAATCTATTGAAAGATGGGTCATGTCATAGAAAAGATAATTTTGTATCAATATTTTATTTGTATACTTGGTGACTTGTACATATGTCGATAAGGCTTTTCTTAATAAACATGAAAACAAAAATATTAGGTAATATGTTATTCATAAAAGATAAGGAAGTGATTAACGTTAAATGATGAAATATTTATACAAGCAATTGAGTATCATAGCATTTTTTTAAAATGTTAATTCATATTGTTCAAGTAATTAAAATAGAACAAATTTTTTTAAAAAAAAAATATTCACCCACTGTATAGAGTACAATACATATATCATAAATAAATCATCCAAACAACTCATTGTTTGAAGAATTAATATGATTGTAAAACATTACAGCTTGATACAATTATTCTAAATTCTTTGATATATGTATATATAATTTGTTGGATCTTTTTCTTTAAATTCATTATGTAAGTTATAGTTGTTTTTGTTTTTTATTTGATTTTATTACAACTTTTTTTCAAATAAAAATAAGAAAAAAAAATATTTAAGTTTCTTGAATAAAATAGTCATAGGAACATAATTATTGATTGATTTTGTAAATCGATTTGAATATATGATTACATTTGAAGAAGTCAAATACCAGCTACATTGGTCTTTTTTTCTAAATTAAATAGTACAAACGAAACCAAGTAAATTAAATGCAAATGTATCCAAAGGTAATATCACGTCTTGTTTTTTTTTTTGTACACTAATTATTATTTTCGCCGTTTCACGGTTTTATCATGATCGAGGTCGTGAATACTGGCCGTTGTTATTTCGAACGTGTGCGAACAACTTGGGCAAGTTGCCTTTCTTTTTTTTGATATATCAGTAGATATTTCTATAAAATCAAAATATTTTTTTTTATTATGAAATATTCAATTAATCAAATAAGAAATTATTTATTTACCAGTAAGAACCGTTGAATAAACGGTTGTATTCCATTCAGGTATACATGATTTTCCATCTGGACTTAAGGTACAAAATGTAAATGCTAATTGAGATCTATCTAATTGATATTCTTGAATTATGTGTTTTGGATTTAATAACAACATTGATTTCAAATTAATTGTATATGATACATCAAGAATGTCTGGAAATGGTTTCAATGATTGAAGTGATTTCAATTCTTCTTGTTTTGCTTTAATTAATACTAAATAGAGTCTATATTTGAAAAAAAAAGAAGAAGAATTAATGTTAATTGCTCGTCGAATGCGAAAATCTCGAAGAAAGGCCGAAACAGTAAAAACTCAAAGAAGACAAAGCTCGGAAACTAAAAATCCAGAAAGAAAAGAATCTCGAATATGCAAAATCACAACAAATAAGAATTCAGAAAAAAAAAAATCTCGAAAGTGTAAAATGTAAAAGTAATTTGAATAATTGATAGATACACAATTTATTAATCATCAATTTGTTGAAGAATAATAATAATTTATGAATTAACAGTATACTTATACAACATTGAGTATAATACAATGTGCATGACATCGAGAGAAAATTGATACAAAAGAAAAGTGAAAATAAATATGATCATCAGAAGAAAAAAACAAACTCAGTATTGATTTGAGAATCATATTTAGTTTTCATATCCATTGTCACGAGTAATGATAAACTTTGAAGATATTCTTTCAAATCAATTTTCGCATATTGAAGTCTTGACATTAAGAGTGTGAATGTGGGTGAATTGATGATTTATATTCACCCACAGCGACGTTAAAGTCTACACTCTCACCTTACATATACAAAATACCAAAGAGAACGATGAAAAAGAAAACAGAAAAACATGCAAAAGAATGATTCAGCAGTTAATAATACTCGTTTGGATTGTTCGAATGATAGAAGATTATCTTCAGTAGTAATTTAATGTTAATGGCTACTTTATGAACATTCAAGATTTTGAATATTCGATATTTTATCTTGTGAGATTTTGTACTTAGACTTTCTGCATTTTGAGATTCTTTTTTTTCGAGCTTTTACTCTTCAAAATTTTGTTCTTCGGTCTGATTGTCTTTGAACAATTAACACTTTCCCCCAAAACAAAGAATGAGATCGAATTAAAAAAATAATAGATATGAATTACTAACTGCATTATTCCTGAACGATCAGCCTCGATAGGTACATAAATTGGGTTCTCATCTGGTACGTCAATCAATTCGTTGTTTGTTTGAAACTTGTAAGGCATAGAATATCGAATATGGTTTTCAAGTGGAATGGTTACCCAATCGATTCGAATCCAACCTTGAACACCAGGTACTACCTATGCAATAAAGTATATTGATGATTTATAAGTTAAAAATAGTATTGAATTAATATTACTTTGATAGTAACAAAATGATTACCGATTCGATCAGCCACATATCGCGGTTTTCGTATAGTTCCATCTTGAGAAAAATAATCACTTTTATATCTTGGTTTATAACCAATTTCGAGATCATGAACGATTTCAATTCGATGCGATAAATTTTGAGATTGTTTCGGCATTGTAACACCAACTGATTCAGATAATGGAATAGAATTAGATCTTGATTTCATACGTGTATTTTCACCTAGATTTAATATGAAAAAAGACAACAGAATTTTATAAATTGATATCAAATAGAAAAAAAAAGATTTAGTTTTCTTACGAATAAGTTTTTTGAATGGAATTGGAATATAATTATTCAATGCAAGATCTGCGTTAACATCAATTTCAATACCTATATAGAAACATGGTTACTGAAATAATCTTGTCTTTTTTTCAGATATTCTTTTATCTTACTTTTCGAACTGTCTTGCCCCGACAAATATAAATCAAGGTCCTTTTTGTCGATACCACAATTTTGTGGGTCTATATACATATATAGAAAAAAATTTCATACATATTAAGTCAAATGAGTAAAGTTGGTTTTCCATCCTACCGATAAAATCTATCGAATCATACGAAATTGCAATATTATTGACAGATAAAACATGACATTTATCCGATAAGTTTTCATTTAATGCAAGTGATTGTTGAATATCATTATCGTAAATTGAAAAATTGGTAAGAAATTCTTCCACTGATAATTGATCTTGAGACATATTATATGTATGAAGATATTTATTAAACTCTAAAAAATTTTATTTTGATGAAAAACAAATATTGCTTTTGTTATATTGATTGTTTGTTATGGTATTACGTCATACTTATAAAAGCTGTTTTGTAGTTTTTTTTTTATAGCGACGTTATTCATTTATAACAAATGACGGAAAAGAACGAACGAAAAAAACCGAGATCGAATAAAAGAAAAAAACCGAGACAGAATAAAAGAAAAAAAAAAGAGAAAAAGGAAGTTGCCTCTTGTTAGTTTCTAATAAGTGTCTATGGAAACAAGTCACTTATTCATTACAATTGATCATGAGGGATAAATCCTATGATTAGTTGTGTGAATAACCTATTACTCATAGTACTACGTCGAAAAAAATTGCAAAAATAACCTACATACGAATTCATTGAATATACTTTATATATAAGAATTAATATTTGAGAATTTCAGTATTCTACAATGAAGATGATAAATTTTTCTTGGGCTATTTTTTTTTTGTTTATCATCTATAGAAAACATTAGAAAACTTGAATATATGACACTTTAAATACGCATAGTTATTTATTTATTTTTTAAATTGAATAAAGAAATATTTTGCTATATCATTATTGTCATTATGAGACGAATCATGAAGAACTTTGATATCAATGTTGGGTTTATAATTTGATATTCTAAAACTTAACTCAATTTTTAAACTATTACTTACAATCTATGATAAATAATAAAATGTTGATAATATTCTCTTCGTTCTAATCTTTTACATTAATAATAAAAGTTGCTATTATTGTTTTTTATGTGTTTTTTCTTTCTTGCAGCTGTATTAAGATGAAACGAATGAAAAAAAAAGAGAAATTAAAACCAGAACAAATTGATAATAAATTCAGAAAAGCATTGAAAATAGCAGAACATATATATATATATATATATTATATATATAAAGATAGTGTGTAAAATAAGCAAATTAAAGTTATGGAAAATGATTAATAAAATTGTTTATTTAACAATTTTTCTCTTTCTATTGGTCTGCTTGTTAGTAGTTGACTAAAAAATATTCAAGAAGAAGAAAAAAAAATTTTATATTAAAAACAAAATAAAAAAGAATCTTTTCTATACTTTTGAATTTATACGTGTTGTACTTGCATTTAATTGTCTTTTTTTTACTCCCAATGTAACATTATCATTAGTATAATCAAAATAATGTGAACATTTTGGGCAACAAATTTTTTTTCTAATAGTTTTTGTAACCATTCCTAAGAAAATAATAAATAAATTTGATAATTATTAAACATTATTGAATAATTTACCTGATTTATTATTTGATATTGCTAATTGTTTTGCTGATGATTCAGTTATAATTGATGAAATAACTGTTGTTTCAGGATGACTATCATATAAACCATTTGATAATTTTGTACATAATGTGAATGCTATATGTGATTTTTCAAGTTGATATGTATTGATTAAATCTTTTGGTGTTAATTTTTCGTCATGAATAATATCTAAAATATGAGTAAAGAAAAAAAAAATGATTTGTTTTTAAAGGAAAAACAAATTATTTTTGGTTTTTCTTTACTTTGTATATTAGTAATTGTATCCGAAAATGATTTTAATGGTTGAGCATCATTTAATTGATCTAATTTTGATTTAATCAAAACAAGTTGAAGTCTAGAAATGTGTTAATAAAATTTAGTTTTTTTTTTCTCTCTCATATCAACTATTTACTTCATAGTAAAATTATTCTTTTGTTGTGTTGATACAGGTATGTAAATTGGATTTTGATCGGGTACTTTAGCATCATGATGATTTGTTTGAAATTTATATGGACTATAAAAATGTCCACGATCATCAATTGATGTTGTTATTAATGCAACACGGATATATTCATTTGTAAAATCACGTTTATATGCTGTTGGCATCTATATTTTTGAAATAATATATTTAATCGATCGTATTTTATTTTCTCTCCTACTTGTAATGTAATATAGTGATGTCCAGCTTTATCAGCAACATAACGTGGCCTTCGAGAAAGGCCATTTTGTGGAAAATAATCACTTTTATATCGTGCTCTATATGTATCTTCTAATGGAAGAAGAATTTGTAATTGATTTGGTGTTGGAACTGTAACAGCCACTGACGTGGACAATTCTATTGATGTACCAAGAAGATTTTTTGTTGGTACTAAAAAATGAATGATTTTTGAAAAAAAAACTATGGTATTATTATTTTTGAAAAACACTTTTTCCAGTATGTGAACGAATTACTGGTAATACTGGATTACTTGGTTTAATCATGGCTAAGTGTTCATCAGTACTTTGTATTCCTAAAGAAGAAATTAACTCTTACAGAATTTTTGCAAAGATAATTTAAAAAAATTCTGATTTGTTCATAGAAATCTAAAATCGATTATATAAATTGAAGAAATCCATAAAATTGCGTTAGACTTCAACCAACACTATATAATTCCGTACTTGCAAAGTCAAGTAAAGTTATCCAAAGCCTATCTTGCGATTTCTTTTGCATAGTTCCATGAATAGTCCTGTGCTTCCATATTATAATATAGATCTAATAAAATTGAACGTTTAGTCTTCGATGTAAGATTAGAATTTCAGCAATAATCGAAATTTTCTAGGATAACAATAGTTCTAGGATTCTACGCAACTTTACAGTTTTCTGTTTAATTTCATAGAGTTTTGAATGATTCTACGTATAGCGAGCCTATAAATTCTTATCGATCCTGAAATTCACAATTTCTTCTTTTCCACTTGATATACATGTATAGAGATGCTATGATGCTAAAAGTATATGTGAGAGAGAATACCCTATGATTGAAGAAAATGAGAAGATTGTAAAAGTTATAACCTGCATAAAAGCTTAGTCCATATATATATATGTATGTATATACGGATCCCGTAACCAATGAGTTAAAGTAATGAAGAACATTTCATTAAATAAAACAAGAAAAAAAACGTACGATCAGCCATGTCATTTGATTCTATTGGAGATAATACGTGTGTATCATCTGCTAATAATTCACTTAAGTCATCCGTAACAGAACTTGAAGCTATTTAAAAAAGAAAAACCTACAGTTTTTTTTTAATGAAATTTATAAAGCTAACCAGAATATTGTTGGATTGCTTTAAATTCATCAAGTAAATCTTTGAATAATTCATCGGAATACAATGTCATATTTAAGTCTTAATAAAAATAAAATAAAAAAAGTTGTGTGTATTTTTTTTGTCATATCTATTAACCCGCAACATCGATCTCATAAAATGATTCCCATGTATTATAATCATAACGAACACGAGTACCTAAATTATTAATAAAAAAAAAAGTTTATATATTTTATGAGCAAATATAATGACAACAGTATATTTATATTACCGATTTCTTCAGTTGATAATGATGACTGGCTGACATCTTCAAAAAAAAAAAGTAGATTGGAGAACTAGTTATACGTATATATATATATATTATTTGATACATACTGGATGTAAGAATAAAATCAAGATTATCCATTGGACTAATATTGGATGTGTTGACTGAAAAAAACAATAATTATAAAACATGACTTGATTAATCATTCATGTTTACTTTGTTGTTCCATAGAGTTCATATTTCTGATGTGTAACAAAATAATGGTTTAGACAATAACATGTCAACAACCACTATTAGTGGTTGCAAGTAAAAATAAATCTATAAATCTAGCAAATGTGTTTTTATTATTGATAGAAAATATAGGAATCTATATGTAATTTTCTTTTATAAAAAGAAAAGCAAATATATAGACACAGCCACGTGGTGTTATTTAGTGGAGTCGAAAATGTTCGGATTACTTACTACTGACGTAACACACTTTTTCATGATAATTGTTAAAAGATAAGGCAGAAAAAATGTATTTACTTATGTATTTACTATGGGTTTTTTTGTTATTCTCTTTACCTTGACAAATCATTTTTTTTCCAATTCTTGGTTTTTTCCAACTTCATTTGTGTTCTCTTATTCTCTCTCCGTCTTTTTTTCTACTAGTCTCCCATTTACACAAGGCTATTTTTGTTCGGTTCTCTTTCTATGACGCATTTGTCATAACGACGTACATCGATAAGAATAAAAAAAAAATCCCAAGTGCAAATAGAATGCTAAAGAACGAAATGTATATGAATATGTATATGGCAAAGAAAGAAAAAAAAAAGCGCTACGCTTATGTCAAAAAAACGTAATGACACAGAAAATAGACGAAGAAAATGATTCAGAATATGAAAAAAAAACCATTCTTTAGATAAATAATTTCTCTTTTATATATTATATATGTTTATTTTATTAGTCAAAACTCATACCACACGAAATGAATTAAATATAGTAAAAGCGAAAAAAGAGGCACTGGGTAATTATTGAGTCATTACATGAAATAAACGAAAACAAATATGAAAAGGGAAAATAAATATTTATATATTTTGATCACTGTGTTCTTAGAACAAAATAGCTACAGCACGACGAAAGACGTTGTGCAGCGGATGAGGCCATTCTGCAAGGACAGTCACGAGCTATCCACATATGGACCTTTGGCTTGATTTTTTTTTAAATTAGATTTTCGAATCGACTAGAAAAAAAAAGAAAACAACATTATAGAATTTTAAATGATAATCATATATTCATATATCATATTCTTTATTTTTATTTTTATTTTTTTATAAATAACAAATAACTTTTAAGATACTAGATGGAATTAATATATAAATATGTTCAACTAAGGAGCACATTAGTTCATATTTATCTTTGACCAATTAATCCCGATAAATTTATAAAAAAAGTAACGGCAATAGTTTTATTATTAAAATCGAGTATTTCATTCATTCTAAAAGTTTTGTATTATTAGTGGGAATAGCTTCTCTCATAGTAGATAAAAAGAAATAGAATAAAGATAAATGCTATTATAGAACTCTGCAATTATTCTACGAAATCATTCTTAGAACACAATCATGTTTTTTTCAACTTTCCTAGTTACACGAATCTCAGCGAGAGTCATTTAAAAAAGAACATCCCTTATGGCATTTGTCCAGACGCTGTGATATATGTAATTAATATAATAAAATTTGAAATTTCGAAATAAGGGATTCACAAGAAATAAAATTTATCTCGTTATAATTCTATGCATTTTAAGCTATTATGACTTTCATATTTTTATTCTTTATTTCTTTTAGTTTCTTTAGTACCTTTGAGCCATTTTAGGTTCTTCACTCCCCTTAGTTCTTTCAGTCTGTTTAGCCCTTTTGGACATGAGTTTGGTGTGTATGTGTGCGTGGGTGACCGTGTTGCTTTCACCCACACCCATATCCAAAAGGAATAAAGGGATTAAAACGATCAAACTATTCTTACAGCTTTAAGAGAGACATATCGACAGATGAGTCTGTAACAGTTGAATCCCGACAAATGAATCCTCGGTAGTTGAGCTTCCGATAGTAGAATCCCCGATATTTAGACCTTCCATATGAGATTTTAATCAAAATAAATAATAAGATATATGTACATTATTCACTAAGATTCGATAACATTCCAGATAACGATATATACAACTAATTAATCACTCTCCTCGGTCAATGCGTCAGTGACTCTTTTTAAAAGAATAAAAAGAATTCTTGGTATTTGATTAGTTATTCACTAGACGAATAATATATATCTCGAAACAAAGAAAACATGGTCGACCATTCTTTATCTATCCCTTCTTAAATATGTCAATTATACAATCATCAAAAGGTAAACATTAACTTCTTGTTGATAGTTTTCGATATCGACGAACAAATAATAGCCAAATAACGTGGTGATGGGTATGAATGTCAGTGTGTGTATATTAATGTAGAGAAAACTAACACCTAGAATCATACTCACATCCCGAAGCTAAACTGTCGTGTCACCCGTTAAAAGGTGTGTAAGTGTAAAAGTAAAACGGGAGAACTTTGATTTCTCGTAGACCTATGTTCTAAATCGTTCGTTTTTTTTCTGATTTTGAATAGATTATAGATAAGTTTCCAATGAAAAAATATTTACTGAGCGTTTGGCGGTTTTTGATGCCGATGAATTGAATTTCTTGGATGAGTTCATTGTCGACATATAATTATTGCACTTTCTTTTTTTGGGCATTCTCTTATTTGATGAAGCTTTTCGTTTAACACTTTTTGTTGCTGTTTTTTCTAAACATTAGATAGAATTATTTAGATTGATGACGATATACGTCAATGTCATATACTCACGCTCATTAATTAAATCCGTTTCACATTTAATATGTGAAATTATAAAAATATTGTCTTGCTTCAATGCTAATTGAAAGATGATTTTATAGCAAAGTAGATCATAATCAATAGTAAATTGTTTTCCTTTTGCAACTTTGCCAATACTATCTTCGTTTGCAAGTGTATCTTTAATTAACAAACAAAAATTAATTAAAAATTCAAAAAACAAAACAAAATACAAACATTTTTCTGTTGTTCTTTCTACAGTTGATGTATCAAATGATGTTAAATCAAATGTATAATCTTCAAATTTTTTACAGATTATAGATAAACGTGGAAATCTAAAAGATAGAAATTGTATATTCAGAAATAATATTCTAGTCAATGTTTATTTACTTTTTTTCGCATTTTATTATATCCGATTTAGTTAATGGAAGAAAAATACTTCCATAATCTATTTCAATTGCATCTTCAGTACGATATTTGATACCATTGACATGTACAAATGTTTTATTTTTTGGATTTTTTGTTGATGTTACCATGGTTACAACAATTCCAAATGATGCATTTTCAGACAATGATGCTGATGATAAATTCGGCAACTATATAATATAAATAATAGATTTAAGTGATAAGATATTTATAGATAAATAATATTTCAAAAAACAAACTTGAATAGACATTGGATGTTTTTTTGAATCAGGTAAAAATCGTGGACCATCACTTTCATAACGAGCACGTTGATCAGCTTTTGGTTGTTCTTTAACAATCATTGCATCAACAATATCAGCAAATTGATTTGTATTTTCCCCGAAACTCATCGTTTCTTGAGTTTCGCTTATATCCGGTTGATTGTTATCTTCTGGTACAATCTTATATAAAACAAATAGAATTTATAAATAATCTTTTTTTTATTTTATCTAGAAAATGAAACACAACTTACTGTGTCTTCAGGTGAACTGTCGATTAGAATTTCGTCAAATTCGTCTCCTATAAATCCTTCATTGGCTAAGATAGCAGCAATGGTCAATTGATTGTCTATAGTAGAAATTAACAAAAAAATTGTACATAATGTTGAGAATACTTATCATGATTTACCTAGTGCAGGACTAATGAAATCTGTTGAAACAATTGGACCTGAAAATATTTTATAGATAAAAATAAAATCATTGTAATAATAATCAAAACATACTTTGAAAACTATCCAAGAAATCATTATCGATATTTGTATCCGAGTAGTCCTTTAACATTGGTGATAGATCCATACTATCCTTTTTCAGCACAGCTAATTCAAGATGTTAAACTGTTAATTTGGAAGAATTTACTGAACGAATCTTACCATTGCTAAACTGGAAATCTTGAACAGAGTCTGATAGATCTTTATCATCTAATAAATCTTTTATATATGGAACAATATTAGTACCATCCAGCCAACTTACTGTGAGAATTGTACAAAACAAAGAATTCAAAATATTATTAAACAATTTTGAAAAAATATTTACATACATTCATCTACTTGATTAGACATGATTTTGTTTTGTATATAATACTATTGAAAAAAGACGTTACACTTCTTACTTTTAAAAAGAAAAATAATCAGTAAAAAGTGAGTTCCTCCAGACAACAACATTTTTTCCCACAATGGAAAAGTAAAAATATGAAACGACATTCTCTCTCCGTTTTTTTCTTCTGCAATGATATGAGTCAGAAAAATAAGGACTATTAGTAACTGAAGAGACAAAAAACAAGAGAACTGGTTTAGACAGATGACGATAGAATACAAATATCATAATTGTTTGAAGAGAAAAAAAAATAGTTGCATTTCGCTTTTTTGTTTTTGATTCAAAAGTTGATCGTAAAAAGTGATTTATAATAATTTCAATTAGTCATTTGTTGAAGTATAGATGTAAAAGAAATGAAATAGAAAGAAAATTTATTATTAAAATAAAAGAAACCGAGCAGAAAATTTTATCTTATAAATTTTCTCCGATAATGAGTAAGTTATGGTGTACCCTATCGGCCTAGATAAAATACTAATGAATAATTCGAAAGAGTCTGAAGAACGACATAACATTTTCACAAGTTTATTTATTTAGATATAAATATAAAAATAAAAGAAAATATTTCGAAATATATATCTACTTGAAAAATTTTATCATCAATATTACTTAGCTAGTAAACAAAATGATGCAATACTATAAATGAATCATTGAGTGGAAACATTTTATATTAATATATAGATTATATTATATAGAGTCTATTGTAAATTTATTTTTAGCTTGTTTATTAGTTTGAATAAATGAATTACAAATAAAAGAAAAAAAAACACAAGAATAAATATAATATTAATTTCTTAATTATAATACTAAAAAATAATTAGCAGCGGATGAAGACCTTAGCAAGAATACTTATATATTAACGTATTCATCGCTAATCCTTTGGATCATAGCATCTTGTTTATTATTAAGATTTATCAATTATATTCAAATGTCTGTAATTTCATGTGTTTTACAATAAATAGGTGTCATATACCATTGATCATTTTGTTTTATCATTAATTGACAAAAAATTTGATATTTGTCTGTATGATATACTCGATCAAAACATTTTGCTTTTTGTTTTTTTGTCATATGTTCTTCATTTGGCAATGTATCTAAATAAATATTTTTAGTCAAAATAAAACAATACAAAAAAAAATTATGATAATAATGATGTACATACAAAACTCCGCATGATTATCTTCTATCAAAGGATCAAATGGAATTAATTGAAATATATAATCATCAAGTTTTGTTTTAATTATCGATAAATGCCGAAATCTAGAATCATTAAAAAATATATAGATATATAATAAATTAAAAAGCATGTATTTGTCTCTTACATTTTTTTTCGTCGACGAATATCTTCATCTGTTAATAAAACACGAAATGAACCTAAACCATTTTGTTGTACATTTGCTTCATTATTGATCATTTCATGTTGATGAATAAATCTTTTCCGTTGTGGATTTTCCTTCGTAGTGACTATTGTAAGTTCAAGCCAAAATGATTGATTTGCTTTTATTAAACATCCGTGTAATATAGGTAACTATAAAAGAAAAATCAATTTATAAAATATAATTAAGTAAAACAAGATACAACTTTAATACACATTGGATTACGACGAGATTGTTCTAAATAACGAATTCCATCAGAACGATAACGAAAACGATGTCTTTCAACCGGTTGTGTATGCATTCGCATGATTGGATTATTATAGCTATAGATAGTATTTACAACTGCTTGTGCATCCATTGTATTAGACCCTTCGTTGCTTATTATATTTTGTAACTGAAATAAAAATATGAAACTAATTTTTTTATAAAAAAAAAAAAAAAGAATTAGCAACTAACGAACATCATTTACGATGGATTGTAGTACTTGTTCTTCCTCGTATGCATCCAACTGTTGATGTGAATTATTTTCTATACCATTATCGTTACCTTGAACATCTAAAAAACGAAAACAAATTTTATTCTTTTGAATTAAAATACAAATAGTAAAATAATAACAAACCTAATGGTATACATTCAATTTCTTCGTTTGTATTTTGACTTGGAACTGTTAGTTCTAAAATTTAACAAATAAATTCTCATAGTATAGTGTTCTTCATTAATTCTCTACTTCTTTAACAATACCTTGATTAATGGGTAATGAAGAAAGTTCTCGACAACCTGTAACAGACATGTATAAAAAAGGAGAACTATATTTAACTATATTCAAGTTGTACAGAAAACTCACCATTGTTATCATTGACGTGTTCTGCTTGTGGCCATTGAATCAGTGGATTAGCTATTTCAAGTGTAGGTGTATTTAATGTTCCAATATCTATAATAATATAACTTGCATCATTTTTAATAGTATTTCATAATGAAATTTACCTCCACTAAAAAATAAAATTTCGTATTCATTACAAAAACCATGTGGAGGATTTAAAATTTGATCAAAATCGATAAAATTATTTGTTGTTTCATCCTCGCAAACTAAAGCATAACATAAAAATGAAATTCTTTTAAAAGACTAATAAAATAGATAAACTTACAATCAGGTGGCTGAGAAGCCATATCGATCGTTTCACTATATAAGAATTTGAATCTAAAATAATATGAAAAGTTTTCTAACAAAAGTTTAATAATATTTACTAAAAGAATCAATTAGTAATTTGACTGTAAATGATAAACCGACTACTACGCCACTTTCTCATAAAATGCTTGAATTCTACAACCCTCTTTTGCTACAGTTCTCTTTCATCAAGTAAGAGAAAAAGAACGGAATAAGAAGGAAAAATTTTTTTTGTCATATTTTTTTTGTCATATTTTTTTTTCATAGAGAATTCGAAAACATAGATGTCTCATGTTGTTTTTTGCAATTATAATTATTAATTATTATTATTATTATTTAATTACTCTCTGTCAACAATTCTAATATTAAATATTAAAAAATAATCAAATGTTTAATTTCATCAATCAATAAAAATATATGTAACATATTTTCTTATTGACATATTTTTACAAAATTCATAACAACAACAAAATAAACTCATGGATTGTTCCAAGTATCTTGTTTTGTTTTTAATCATATTATTAAAAATTCAATTATATTCATTGAAAATATGATAACAATAAACTATTATTTTATTTGTTTAACAAACTCTTGACTTCATATTATGCGATTAAAAAGCATATAGAAATAAAAACAAACAGATATAACTTTAAAAAAAGCATAATGCACAGAAAATAATTCAGAAATAACGACATCAAACTAAACAGTAATTGAGATCAAGTTATAATGTAGTTTTGTAGAAATTGATTTACGATTTTTTAACTCGTGTTACCTAAAAAGAATATTTAAAAGATAATTAAATTTTTTTTCTGAAAAAAAAGATTAAATTTTACCCGTAAAATTTTCTTTGATGGTGAAGATCGTTTTCGTTTCTTGGGTAAACTTCGACAATGAACTGAATAATCATCGTCATCATCATCATCATCTCTAATATTAGAAGATTTTGATCGCTTATTTGATTTTTCGGATTTTTCTACTGAAAAAACGAAAACGATTTATTCAAAAACCTAATTTTTGTTTTTTTTTAATTAATTACTTTCTTTCATAACATCTGTTTCACATACAATATTTGTCATATGCCATGTTTCATTTTGTTTAATGAGTAATTGACAAGCAATACGACTTGATGTTAACTTGTATGTGTCACGAAAAAGTTTAGCTTTTTTAATAAATGAATTAATATTTTCATTTTCATCTATGGTATTAAAGAAAATATTTAATTATTATAAAAAAAACCGAAGAACAAAATCTACATACATATTTCAACTGAATTATCTATTGATAAATGATTGAATGGTATTAATTCAAATGTATATGCTTCTAGTTTTTCTTTTATGATTGATACACGGGCTAGTCTAAATTTGAAATAAGATTAATATATTAGACAAAGAAGATTTCTTACTGTTTTATTCCCATTTGAATATCTATTTCGGTTAATGGAATTCGTACATATCCATGATCACATTCTGGTACATTATTTGCATGATATTCTATTTGATCGATATGAATAAATACTTTGTTGGCAGGATTTTCTTGAGTAGTTATTAATATTAATTCAATCCAAAATGATTGATTTGAATTTAATGTACAATTTTTTAAATTTGGCAACTAAAACAAGTAACAAACTGTGAAATAAAATCGATTGTAAGAGAAAAACAAATGTTGAACATACTTTGATTGCCATTGGCTTAGTACGAGATTTTTCAATCTGACGTTTTCCATCACTTCGATATCGTCGACGAATGTTGGTTGGTGGTTGAGTTTCAACGCTCATTTCTCGATCCTGAATCGATTTATCGATGTTGTCCAACTCGATCTTATCTAATTCTGTTGGTAACCACTTAGTCGTTTCATCGCACGGCTAAAATCAAAATTTCTCAGTAAAAATTGACTATTAATATACAATCAGTTACTAACCAAATCTATGAAATTAAACTCTTGATTTTTCAGCAATTTTTCAATGTTATATTCGATATCTAAAAATAATTTTATTCATGAATAATATATCGAAATATGATTTTATAACAAACCGGATGCATTTGAAAAACTTTTATCAATATCATTGAAATCTATATTTAATAAAAATAGATTATTTAAATATATATAATATTGAAATACCTTCGATATCAGATAATAGATTATTATTTGATGAAGATGGTGCTGTTGACTCATCACTAACGATATCTGTTACTAAAATAAAACAAAAAACAAACATTTTAAAAAACTACATTTCGTAGAAAAAGCAAAACTTTACTTTGACTAAAAGTAACTTCTGTTACGGAATTTTTTATAGTATTTTCAGAGTATTGAGAAGTCTCAACGCTAGTATCAGCATATAAATTGAAAAGATCTTCGTATTCTAAAATAGATAACAATGGACAAAAAAAAATGATATTTGAGTATTATTTTAATTTACTCTCTTGTGGTT